CAAGAGATTTGATAGTCCCAATTAAAGAGTTAAACCTTAAGAGAGTAATTACCCGACTTGAACCCTAGTTGCTTGGGCAAATTTGCCTACCCAATTGGTCTTGAGAAAGTCAATCGGGCAAAAACTACTCTCTCTACCGAGAGGTATGAGAGTGGGTAAAATCGTGCAACGGTTATAGTATATTTCCCCAATCATGTCAATCGTGCCTTAGAAGCAATTACCCGTCAATTTGTCACCTAGGTGAAAGTCACTACCCTAGTGACTTTTTTATCCATTAGATACAACTTGTAGCAATTCGCGCTTAGCATAATCTAGTTGCAATCATAGTTAGTAGTTGATAATAGTAGATTATTAAAGAAAACCCCAAAAATGATTGGAAGTGATATTTGGAACAAATACACAATTCCACTCTAAAAAGATACTCGACTCCCTTCCTAGCTCCCTGTGAAAATCGATCCCGACCCACAAATTGGGTAAAAGATATTGTGACCCTCTCTTCCTACTTTTTAGTAGTGCGGAGTAGGCAACGATCAGCTATCAACTTTGCCCATGAAGCAAGTCTTGCTTAGCAATCTTTTCGATTTCTTCGAAACACATTGTTCGGCTTATCAGAGGAAATCACAGTTGGATTTGTGCCTTTGTCAATACCGTGTATGCCCCACATAATTTGTTTTGCACTTCTGGGAAATGGTGAACAATTTTGTGGCTCTTTCTTTGTGGGATTTCTAAGCAAACAGACCAGCAAAGTTTTCTCTTTGGAACTTCTGCTTGCATGAACCCTTGGATATTGTTTAGCTTCAACAACTTATTGTGCATGTTGCTCCCTGGGTATGTCCTCTTTGATGTTCTAGGATAGACAATTAGAAAGCCGGTAACAAATTTTGAAATCATTTCTTGTTTATTTTAACAAAGACTAACTAAAAATAATAATACAAATGGATACAATAACGCGATATAAAAGTGAGGAGGAATATTATTTAACTCAAAATGTTACTTTAGGAGAAAAGAAATAAAGAAGGGAGTCTTTTGAATGTGGTAGTCAACTTTAATGATCATGACATGAATTTTGGACTAAGCAGCTGAATCTATCCAACTGATCTACCCTTTCTTCTTGTTGTTCCTTTTCGTCTTTGAGTTGGCCTCTTTATGCCAATTATTTGCATCAAATAGCAGTTCACCTTCGACCAGTAGTGCCCCAAAAGTTTTTTACCAACTGGCCTCTCTCATTTATTTATCTCTACTTATCATCGCCTTTATAATGCCCATGAGGGTTTTCACCAATAAGACTCTCTCATTTCCATTCATTATCTCTTCTTTGTTTTTGCCTTTTGGTGCGAGCAACTTGACATTGTTCTACGTTGTATGACAACTGTTGCTTACTACGTGTTTCCCTTGGCATTCTTAAGACTATTTGGAAGGTCTTTATTTGGAACTTTTGGATAGAGTTAGAAAGAAAGGGTCACATTAAGGCTCAAAATAGACTCATGATGATAGGGTTGTATATTTACAACTCTTGGAATCGACTCTTCATAAAAACATAAAAAAATAAAAAAATCTGCCCCAGTTTCATATACTGGGGAATTTTTATTTTTAATTTGGTTAGACTGAACCCTAGTGTAAAGCTGCCTACGTATCCTTTAAAGGAATCAAGTCAAATGTAGTTCAAACTAACACAAAAGATTCCTTTGTTGTTTTTCTTTTCATTTTTCTTTCTTTCTTTTTCTTCTCTTCTTTTTATAACAAATTGCCCCAACTCCTATTTTCTAGTAGCATGGATCTTCGATTTTTTTTATTCTATACTTGATTCCAAAAGAGGGGGTCAAAGAAAAATAAAACAGGCTCAAAAGGGGTAACGAAGGGTATAAAGTGTTTGGGTAGCAGAAAAAGAGCCTTCCAGCCTCAAGAATGCCAACATTCTATCTCTTCTCAGGTTTGGCATTGATGGACATGACTCTCTTCTTGGTTTTATCAGTTGTATAGTTCCGTAGTCAATATTTTGTTCGCAACAAATGACCTTTGACAATTTAGAGCCACCTTTTCTTGGTCCTTGTCCTGATGTAGAAGGGTGCAATTCAGTACCAGCTAATCATCTTAGATTCCCTGGAAAGCACCTTCTTTGGGAATTTGGGTCATCTTCCCTGATATGATTAGATTATGCAGGCCATGGCAAAAAGCCTTTCATCGATTAGCCCAACAAAACTTTCAATTATCCTTAAGCTGGTATTCATGATAGGTTTGAGATAAACATCTTTAACCTCTACAGATATGACTATTTTGGTTCCATGTGACAGGCTTATCATCAAAGTTCTTCAACCTCTTATTTATCCTCCAAGTGTTTTTCCTCGATTCAATTCAAGATTGGACAAGCTTTCTAAAAGCTAGCCGAAAACTCTGCATGCATGTCATGTCACTAAAATTGGCGTGAAAAGAACTATATATACAAGAAGAACTAAACACAATGGATTAAAATGACACAAAGAAAATAGTTGTATTTTATTGATTAAAGGATAGAGAGATTTGATGACAGGACAAACAAACAACATCTGGATCACAACCTCAAAATAATCCGGATGATAGAAATTATGACAAAATAAGTTACCAAGACTCCTTCCCGGCAAGGAAGGGGGTGACTTTCTAATTATCAAGCTCAACATCTTAGTTATGAATTTGCACATCAGTATCAAGCAGGATCTTCAACAATTTTTATTGCCTTGCATTCAGTGGACAGGTTCTTGACATTTTTCACCAAACATTCCCCATATTCTTTATCATTGTAAATCATCCAAACAATGCGTGCTTAGTCATGACATTTAGGGTGCCATTATCTTGGACCACGATCATTCCTTCTTGAATCATCATTTCTATTTCCTTTTTCAAAGCCCGACAATCCTCAATGCTATGTCCCTGGACATTAGAATGGTACATGCACTATAAAGCAGGGTCAAAACCTTTTGCATATGGATCTGTAACATACCTTTGAAGCGGCTCAATCTTGCCACAATATTTTAGCCTTTCAAACAAACTTATGTAGGATTCTACGATTGGCGTGAAATTGTCCCTCTGCTTATGTTCCTTTTCGTACTCTTGTTTTGGATGAGGTTTGTAGGGTGATTGAGAGTTCTGTTGTCACGGATGAAGGTATGTCAAAGATGGGGCCCACATCCGCTGGTGATTGGATGGTTTGGTATAAGACTGAGCATTGAATGTTACATACTGTGGAGTAACTGCGTATCGTGGATCTGGGGGTGAGATGCTCCCCTTTGGCCTCTTTTTGCCCGTGATGTCATCATGACCTCTTCATCTTTCTTATTTTGGTTAACAAGGTTGTTTGGCCTATTATGTATTTCTTGAGTGGATGATTTGAGAGCCGCTAGACTTATAATTCGGCCAGTATTGAGGCCATTCTCGACCATTTCTCTTATCTTGATTGCATCAGCAAAAGTTCTACCCATTGCGGACATCATATTTTGAAAATAATTACGATCCTGAGCCTGAAGGAAGACAATAATTAACTCATGGTCATCCATGGGTGGTTTAACTCTGGATGCTTTCTCTCTCCACCTAACGGCATACTCCCTAAAGCTTTCAGTCGGCGTTTTCTTCATATTGGACAGGGAATTGCGATCTGGCGCAATATCAATGTTGTACTGAAATTGTTTGACGAAAGTCTGGGCCATGTCGTCCCAAACATGCCAGTGAGAGATATCTTGGTCAATTAACCATTCAGAAGCTACCCCTACCAGACTCTCCCCAAAATAAGCCATCAACAACTCTTCTTTTCCTCCTGTACCCCTCAGCTAGTTGCAGTACCTTTTCGAGTGGGCGATAGGGTCACCGTGTCCATCATATTTCTGAATTTTGGTGTCTTGAACCCTAGGGGTAAATGGATGTGAGGAAACATGCACAGATCACTGAATGAGACACTTTTGTGACCACCTAGTCCTTGTATGTTTTGCTCAAGACTTTTCATTTTTCTGACCATCTCATCTGGCTCTCCTGTCTTTACAGCCTTTTCATTTTCTGTAGGTAACTCATACTGTGGGGTTTGATTGTGTGGATTCGAACCCTTAAAAGCCATAAATAGAGAGTAGTATTGGCCATCATAAACATGAAATAGTGTCTCGATGTTTGGCCTCGTCACAGGATTTGGTGGGGGGATTGTATGCGCTGGTGCGCCAGACATGACGAGAGGTGTGTTCCTAACGGGTGCGGTAGGAGGCTGCACATTATAGATACCAAGGATGATATGGAAGCTATAGTTTGGCACATACCCTGGTGGTAGAATGTGTTCGCTCGTTGCAGGGAGCGGTGGTTGAGTAGCCTGGGGTATGGTGGAAGTTCCCACGGAGGGACACTGAGGCGGAGGCTGACCAGAGACCCAAGCCTGATACACATCACTCAGTTGATGTTTCAATCTTCTTACTTCCTCTGACTCTTGCTCAACCGATTGACCCAGAAGGTCATCACTGACCAACTCAATTTCATCATTGTTAGCCGTCGCTACCTTCCCCTTAGATCTTGTAAAGTAATGATGTGTTGCCAGTTTCACCACAAACCAACCACCTTAAGCTTGCTAATTAAAAGGCAACAAACGTGTTAGGCTTAAGCATTTTACAAATACAAATCACACGTAAATATTCTATGCGCCTAACATTATCACCGTCTCTAACATGCTTTTGGAAGGCTTCATGTTTCATTCCGGCTTATAAGGTTGCTACTTATTGACGCTCTTATTTATTCCTCTCTTTTTGTTTACACGCCAACCTTATTTTAGAGCCCCTAAAAAATATTTCGATCGAACTTTTTAGTGGTTGCCTACGTATCATGTCGCCGCATGAATCAGATCATTACGTAGTTCAAAGACACAACCAATTGTTTTTTTAATGTACAAAAAACATTTTTTGGTTCATTTTCAAATTTTTCTAAAACAAAATGTTTTTCATTGATTTTCTTTTCTCTTTTTTTTTCTTTTTGATATAAGACTTGAAAAAGGGAAAATTACATAAAGATACAACCTAAAAGGACAAGATTTAAATAAGTCCGAAGTCGACTTAAATAGACCTCTTTTTTAAATAAAATAAAAATAAAAGGCAAAACAAAAAAACTCAAAATACCAAAAGACTCTTACAGACTCGATGACTACAAATGAACAATCAAAGTGGACTGCCAGCTAAAAGAAGACTCTGATCTTTGTAGGAGACTCCAGCAGCATCATTGTAGTCAAGGTGCTTATTCCTGCGGTTGACCTCCCATATCACGGTATATGCGCTTCAGGTCTGTGGCAATGTGGCGTGCGAAGTTGGGCGCATGCATAGCAAATTGCTCTTGAGTCAAACCTTGACAAGTAACATGCTCCTGGCTATGACTTAAAAATTGGATCTGTCGCTCATGGTTATTGGCTATGTCAGATATATCCGCCTCACGTTGTAACGCTAGATTCAACTGGTTCTGGACCTTTTCTAGCTCATTCTCTATCTGGTTCTTACCTGATTCTGCTGCCCTGGCCCGAGCCCTTAGATCATGGATGATAAGGCTGTAATGCATTTCTTCGTGCTTTGGAATGGTTGTATGCTGCTGAGCAGCAGCCCTTATTATCGCTTGCTGAAGTTGTGCTTGAGCATTTGAACTTCATATGTCAATCTGATTTTCTCCTCTTTAAACTCAAAGCACTGCAAATCCCTATTCACATTGGTGATACTTATATCCCTACGTAGAGCCCGGATGATGGATTCACAGTCTCTTGTTATTTCTTCCTTAACCTGCCCTACTCTTGTTCTGATTTCAGTCTCCCATTCCGTCATGCTCTTCAGAACTGTCTCCTTCCTAGATCCAAAATCATCTTGGTCACAGAACCACTCGAAATATGCCGGGTCTAACTCTCCTCGATCCTGATCTTCTACCATAATGTGAAATTCAAGCACCTTAATTTCATCCCAAACCTGCTGAGCATATGCCTCACGAACATGATCTTCTGATGTTACCTCCCACGTGAATCTTTGCATGTGCTTCACTATGGGCACTACCTGTTTTCGACCTAACTGGCGTAGGGCTCTCATAGGCACATATGGTTGAAAACCCCGAAGACCCAGCAAAATCAGAAATGAATGGTGGTAAGACTTGTATATGACTTCTTTTGGTGAGAACCAGTGGTAGTTCCATGTGATTTTAGTAGCGGTCAACTTTTGAAGATGCCCTCTCCATGCTTTGACTCCCCTGGGGAAACTACTATTTTCAGTCAAATCTTCAAACCCATCTCCAAGCTCATTGTTGCTCCTATGAACTCTAAAATTTACCCGTGCGGGATGACTGAGAAGGTGCTCTAAAAACATATTTGGAGTATGATGTTACAGCCCTCAAAGAAATCATTTCCTTCCCGACACTTGGTCAAGGCACGGTAAATATCGCACAATATCATTGGAATGATAGTGACGTCCTTTCCATGTAATAAAGTGGTGACTATGCCAAATAATCGAATATCAACATTTTTATCATGCCTCGGGAAAACCATTGTCCCTAGAAATGCCACTAGGAATGCTTTCCGCCATGGTTTTGCCAAGCTTTATATCCAACTTTAGTATCAAGCTCTTTCCATGCTTTGAAATCCACCTGGACATCCATACCTGTCGTACAAGAAATCCAATCAAACGTGCCCTCGTTCCACAGTGCTATTTTATTTTGGCTGATTGTCGTCTGCTCAAGGAACTTACTGCCAGTTACATCCCTTGGGGCCAAGGGTCTCTTCTTCCAAAGCTCATCACCTAACCTTGTGTATCCATCTTACTCCTCCAAAGTGGGAGTCATTTTGAAACCATTAAAATGGAATACGTTGTTAATAGGATCCCAGAAATGCACCAATGCCTCGATTAAGTCCCTCTTTGGATTTATCTCCATAATATTCACAAAGTGACCCAGATGATCCTTTATCTTTTTCTACTCACAAATGCCCATATTTTTCCACCATTGCCTTTGCAACCGGGGTGTTTTATGTATGAGCCAAATCTGCAAGGGCTCATCATCTTTTGGATTTTTATTGGGTCTTCCACTTACTGAATTCATATCTTACCTAGATAAATAAAAATGTAAGGTCAATTCCTAATCTAAACTCAAAGAAATGACACCAAGCAAACCATTGGATAAGACAACAGACAAACTTCTTAGGGGAGGAAGGCTAGACTCTAGAAGGATTACTCAGGTATCTCCCCGGGGAAACAATACATGACAAAAGCGGCTAGACGAAATAATAAAAGGTAACGAAGAGGACAAGATGGTTATTTTTATGAAAATGGCTCTTCAGTACCTCCAAGAGAAGTACTAAGTCTATCCCGGTAAAACATCCGGACACATGGATAAGCGAGTTAAAATAAGTAAAGGCTTTTTTTTACAAAAACACTCATTTTTTTTAAAAAAAAACTGTAAGGTTGACTTGGCGAAAATGGCCAATAACAAAGGACGGCATGACAAAAACAAAATGATTATATTTACTATAGCCCTTCGACACTTCTGAGGGACGTTGAAAGGCTGTCCCGGAAAACGGACAAAAAAAAGACAAAATGGTAAAAGATGTTAAAAAAGAGCAAAGTAATCATTTTGTACGGAAATAGCCCTTTGGCACTTTCAAAAAAGGTTTTAAGGCTATTTCGACAAAAATGGTTCGACATTGGGGAAAATGGTAAAATATTAGCTAAATTTATGAAAACAGTCATTCGGCGGTTCCGAAAAAGGTTTTGAGGTTGTATTAAAAAACATGATCGGATGCAAAGATAAAAGTAATGAAAAAGACAAAAAGTAGCAAACTATCGACTTATTATTATTAATAAAAATTAAAAAATATTATGTACACACCGATTTCAAAAACTTTCATCGTCCTGTCGTTGACAAAAACATGAAATAAACGTAACTAATACAAGAGTGACAACAACCTAAACTATTTTTTTTTTTTTTAAAAATGAAGCCAAAGCTAATACATGAGACTAAGGATAAAATAATGCATTAAAATTTGAGTTCCTAAACATGTACCTAGGAAAACACATGTTTCATTCTTAAATAATGGATATACAACATATTAACAACACAAAGGTATTTTTTCACTAGTTCTTTCAAACCTACCAGCACACTTAACCTTATATTTTCCCCAATTTCATCAACTTGCCATGAACATAAATATTACTAAGAGACATAATACTATCTGTTACCTTTTCAATACTAAGAGGGGAGTTAAAATGATTAACATTAGATATATGAAATCATGGCAAAAGAAACTAAACATCTATGTATAAATATTTCTGAAAAACAAAATGTTTCTTTTCCTTAACTAGATAAACTTCACATAATGATGTTTGAGCTACATATGTGAAGAAAAAATGGAAGATTAACCAAATATTACAGATGTACATGCTTTAAACATAAGTAATACGCCAAATATTCATTCATTCTAGTAAACCACATCGAGTATATCCTATGAGCTGAAAGAAACCCATATTCTCATATATTGGATATAAAAATCTGCATTGCAAAATTTGAGAAATACCTGGATTGCAGAAAATAAATACAGCAGTAAAAAATGGAGCTCCGCAACGAAAAAAACAGCAGAAAACAACAGCAGTTTCGTGTTTAAAATAGCCCGAAAACCTTAGAGAATAAACCCAGAACCAACTCTAAAGAAGACTCATACTTTTCTAAAAGTTTGCACTCTAAAATATACTCACAAAGCTCACCATTTCAGCTTACTAAAGGGTGCTTTAGTTGATGATTTTTTACTCCCAAAATTGTATTTTTAGGGTGTAAAAACTGTCCAACAAATGTGTGATGGAGTCCCCCTTCCAATGAGTGAGAGGAGACCCCTTTAAGTAGGAAAAGCAAGCACCTTTGGACAGATTTTGGTTCACCAAAAATCTGTCTAAAAGACTTGCTTTTTCTCACCAAAAACTTGTCCAAGGCCTGTCCAAATAAGAGAAAGGACAATCCTTTTCACTAAATTTAGACACAATAAGACTAGTTATACTCTTAGCATGCTTCAAATAGTAAAAGTAACCAACTATGTACTCTACTCAATCATTCCTTTCTACACCCTCAACTTTAACATTAGCAACTAAAGGAGTAAAGGACTATATTTCATCACATTGAAATTGATAAAAGCCAACAGAAGACTAGTATAATTGTAAACAATTGAATCTCTCCGACAAAGAACCAAACTAACTAGCTAATTCGAACTTCAATCAAATTCATCACATGAATCAAAATCGAATAGAGCTAATACAAGTATTAAGAGAATCGTTAACAAGCACAACCAAACTGTAGTTATGAAAGAAACTGAACATATGACCAACGCAATTTAGAAAATAAAATAGAACCTAAATTAAACTAAAGATAAATTTAACATAAAGCAAAGAGGAGAGAAAAATGAAAAAGGATTAGGATTTCAACCTGTATTATCTATGAAAGTGATTATCAAACTAGCTAACAAAGAAGAAATGATTAACAGAACTTAAACCTATACTAAAATACTAAAATCAATCACAAAATATAGAAAAAAAAGTGAGAAAGGGAATCGATATTACCCAACTTCAAACATTCGGGCAGTAGCGGTAGCACGACAGAATTGGCAGTTGCTCGGTTCGAGCAAGCTTCGATTGTTGATATTCATCGAAACCAAGAACTCCGGCGAATCTGAGTCCTATTTCAATGATATCAACAACACAACCTTGCTCGAGGCCGGTTTGAAAGGAGAAACGAGAGGCAAGAGGCAGTGGTGGTTGAGGGGTGGCAGCGACGGCGGTGGATCGGTAGTGGGGAGGTCGCCGGATCTTCATCGCCGGATTTTCGAGGTGAAATTGACATCAATAGGTAGGTCTTAAAGAACCCTATCCGTTGATATTGGTATTGTAGGGTAGTGGTGGCCGGAGTTTCACGAATTTGGTCAAAAAGGTGGCGGCTAGGGTTTCCTAGATCTAAAATTCGTGGGTTTTGAGGGGTTTTTAAGGAATTTAGCTTGGAGATTCAGAAAGAGGGGGTTAAGGAGGGCATAGGATGAAAACATGGGGCCTATTGGACCACCACCGGTGGCGGCGCATGGTGGTGGTAGTGGTGGAGCGGCGACGGCTTTAAGAGAGGGTGAGAGAGAGAAGAGAGTAGGGGGCGATTTTAGGGTTTGGAAAATAGGGCAAAAAACTGATTTTTTAGCTTTTATATTTTAGTTAGGGATAAATTTTGACCATTAGATTAAGGTGGAATGAATGGCCATGATGGATTTCATTTACTTAACCAAAACGAGATAGTTTTGTCTTGAAACTACGTCGTTTTAAATCCTCCCATGCCAACCCCTTGTCTTGCATTATTGACCACTTTCTCTTTCAAATTTTGCCCAGTTTCTTCCTTAATACTACTTATTAAACTAAATTTACACAAACAAATAAATTACTTAAATAACTTATTAAAATAATTAATTAACTAGATTAATTCACCAATTGAACGGTTAGTTAATTCCTAAAATGCGCACACACAAAAGGAACTATTTTTTGGTATTTTATGATAGGAATTATGCAATTAAAAATACAAAAATTGAGAAAAACAATTAAAATAACAAAACACTAATGACATTAGGAGGTGTTAAAATAGTGCAAAAATTAGGTATTCACACGTGGTCTCGGTCCCACTCCGGTTCCTACCAAAAGCCCACGAGGCCCATTTAGGCCTGTGCCAGGCCCTCTGTACCCTTAGTCAAACATATGAACTTTCCAAACATTCAAATTTTTAATTTTCACCAATTTGTGTTGAAATCTTCTAGAAACATCTAAATGCTAATCCGGGAATGCGCCCGAGTCCAAAATCACCATCCGAACCTAACGGAACTATGAAAAATCCAATCCGAGGTCAAATGCTAAAAAGTCAAACTTGATCGATTATTCCAATTTAAAGCTTAACTCATGAAATTCATTCTTTCAAATCGTTTTTGAATAACCTGAAAACAAAACCCGATGATTCACATAAGTCATAATACATCATATGGAGCTACTAATGCTCGTAAACTACCGAGCGAAAAGGCAAATGCTCAAAACGACCGGTCGGATCATTACATCCTCCCCCACTTAAACATACGTTTGTCCTTGAACGTGCCTAGAGTTGTTCTTAAGCCGTCAGATCACCGTGTAACCTTACCATGCACATACCCGAGGCTGATCACGTCACTCTATTCCATATAGGCCCGAGAACACACCATAACTGAAGATCATTACTTCAACCTTAGCATGTAAACCACAGAATCTAATTTCCAACATCTGAAGTTTCTTACAAGACCCGAACTTCGCATCTACACACTGTATGAGCCTGAAAAGTTGTATCCCCATTGTAAGCACGTGATTTTTGACCCTCCCCGGAAATTTTTACGTTCTTAAGCTTAAATATCTAAT